GATCCTGCACACACAAAAAAAAAAAAAAAATCTAAAAGAAAAAAGAAAAGAATGTTTCATAAAATAAATGGAGAAGCTAACACATTAAATATAGACCAAAAAACTCAGTAGAATGGAAAAAGTAATGAACACAAAGTCTGAAAAAAAATTAAAAGTCCTTAATCACATACAGAAATGCTGAAATAGACTCTATTACACTATAAAAATGATTAAAACCATAATGGAATATCACTTATCCCAATCATATTGATAAAGATCAGAGTTTATCAGCCAATCAGAGCATTGGCTTAAGAGCTATCAAGTAGGAACCCTAATAATCACTAATAAAAGTATTTTGGTACATTTTAACAGCATGTATAAAAATTTAAAACTTTATAAATGCAGCATTTAACCAAATGACTCTATTCATGGTAATTAAAATAGTTTACAGATTTACTCCTATGAAAAATTATAAACATACACAAGATTATTAATTATAAGTCTTTTAAATAGCAAAAGCAAGGCAATATTCTAAGGGTCTACCAGTAGAGAGTAAATAAATATGATATATCACTAAAAATTAAAGCACCTTTTTTGAAAACTAAAGGAAGATCAATATATGTTTCAATAAAAAAAGAGAATAGAATACTACAAATACATGAAGTGATCAAAACATACCTTGAATGCTTAAATTTTTAAAAAGCCTTATTATATTGCCAAGAATGACAAAATAAGTATGTTCAAAACAAGGGGGACTATTTTGAGTGACATTGATATCAATGTGTTCCTTTGCTATAATTTTTTTTTTTTTGTATTTTAGGGAAGGGTCTGCAAGGTGTTCAGGGTCTCAGTACGAGATTGGACACGCAGTGATCCGCCTGTTTACAGCTTCCCAAGAGCTGGGATTAGCCGGCAGGGCAGGCCAGGGATGGAACCCTCCCTGCGCCTGCTTGTAGGCAATGTAATCCATTGAACTATTTGGCTGGCCCTTGCTGTGATAATTTTTGTATTTAAATATTTATTGTATTTTATCACCTTAATTTTTGATCAATTGTTTATAGTAATTTCTGTCAAATAAAAACACTACATCGTGTGTATTCATCCATCTTATTCACTAGATCTGACACTGTGAGCCTTCTGGCTCTTCCCTGAAGTCAAAATGACCACAAAGGAAATGTCTGAATCAACTCAAGCCCTTGAGGCCACAATGACAGTGCAAGTAAAGACACTCATGAAAAAGGATACAGTGTGCTATCACTTTAAAAGTATATATATATATATATATATATATATAGCTAGACATATGTAATTTAAAAATATTCATAGACTTAGAGAATATCTAAGAAAATACGCAAACTTTTTAAACATCATTTTTAAAAAGATGCTCCATCTTTCAAAGCTTGTATCATAGTCTTTTTTCTTTTCAATTTATGAAAAAAGCAAAGTACATTCAAAATAGAATGACAGAATAACAATAGGTATTACACTATGTATCACTATTTTCAAAATAGTCATTCAGTACAAGCCATAAAGCAAAAGGATTCTTACAAAAAAGAAACGGATACTAACACAAACTTTCTTGGCTATGTGAGAATATGTCATTATTTATCTTCAACTTTTAAAACATTTATTGATCATTCTCAGTAAAAGATGAAGATGCTGCAGAAAGGACACAGTCATGTTAAGTACAATATCACATCTTTTGCTCATTCATCAAATGCATCTTCATGTTCATGCTACTTTTTCTCACTGCATATTTAAGATAATTTTAAATTAGATTCATGAGAATCATGCTCCAGTCTTGAGACAAGTAGAAGTAGACAATGCTCCCCAAGAGGCACTTTTTATTTTTCTGAATAGCCAAGGGTCTGCCTTCACCAAAACCCCCCAACTTCAGTAGCAAAACATAAAGTGAGACTTCATGCACTGAAGGTGGTGTACAGTAGTAAACACAGGAGTTTAACTTGTAACTCAGGGCTAGACTGGTGAAAGCTAACACAAGGTAGATCTTAAAGGCTTCCATCTTCAGGCCAGAGAATGGAGCTTCTAGAACAGCTCCAATGACAGGCAAGACAGGTAGCCTCAGTCTATCAGCTTTCTGCTCCCACCCCACCCTACTCTCCTGCGACTGCCTCTCATGGTCCAGGCCATGATTCTACCCCAGCAGGAGGCAGCTCACAGAAGCATGGGCCTGGGAAGCACGCCGGTTCTTTGCTGGTCTCGGCAGGCTGTGGGCTCAGTGTAACACAGAGTTGTTGCAGTGCTGCTGGCCTCAGGACCGCCCACCACAGCCTTCTCACAAGGGCAAGCATACCGAGAGTCACTGCCTGTGTGGCGAGGAAAATGGAAAGAGTACCAAGTCACACCACCAGAACCTGGAGTTGGCCCCTCCATGGTACTTACTCAAAGAGACAGCAGAAAAGCCAGGCAGCTGGCACAGTGTTAGCACAGGCCACTGACTGGGGAGGTCTCAGGGGTCTACTCCTGTGGCAGAGACGTGGGGGGACAGACTAGCTTCTGTAGGTGCACCCCACATTAACTAGGTTTAGAACAAAATTGGGGCTGGGTCACCCTCTGGTGCTGAAACAGTAAAGGAAAAAGGAAAATGACTATAAAAAAAAATAAATGTTAGTGAAAGACCTTTAAACTGAAAGACAATAATGAGTAAGGAGAAAATAACAGAAGGTATAAAACTCACTGGTAAAAGTAATTATACAGACAGAATCAGAGTGCTCTAATATAAACATGGCACATCAATCATTCATATCTTTAGTATTGTTATTAGCATCAAAAAGTTAAAACAATAATAACCACATTAATAAGTTAAAGAATAAAAATACAAGATGTAAAATGGGACATCAAAAATTCAAAATGTGGACTTCAACAGAATGCAAATGTAGAGTTTATTAAAACATTTTGTCTTCCTAGTATCTTGTTTTTATGACCATGATGTATAGCTATTGTTTCAAAATAACTTCTTATAATCAAAAGATGCTTTTGAAAGTATTACGGTGACCACAAAGCAAACATCCATAATAAACAAATCAAAAATAATAATGAATCAAGGCATTCTTAAATTAAATCATTTAACCATAAAGAAAGACCACAGGAGAGATAGAAGTATGCACAGCATACATATATAGAAATAGCACAGTAAGCTTCATTAATATATATAATTTTAAAAGTTGATAAGTATTATACTTCTTGATAACTACAGTTAATAACAATATATTATATATTTGAAAATTGCTTTAAAAGTAGATTTTAAGTCTTCTCACCACAAAAATATATGAAGTAATGAATATGTGAAATAGCTTGATTTAGCCATTCCACAGTGTGTAAATATATGAAAGTATCATATTGAACACTATAAATTTACAATTTTTTACTTGGAAGTCTAAATAAGTGAGAGAGGGAAAGAAGGGAGAGAAAATAAAAAATTGAAAACAGGTTACAAAATGACTATTTTTTTCAAAATGACTATTATAAAATAATCTTATAAGTAATTATTAAATGAAAAAATATTATTATAATTAAAAGACATCAACTATCTGAACAGATTGATAAAAAACAAGATCCAACTATATGTTGCTTATAAGAAACTCACCTTATATTATTTGTACTGTTTAGGAGTGACAGATATATGTTTGTGTAACTAAATATAAAGTCATTGAAAAATAAGTCAAAACTGCACTTGGAGAATGACTATAATTTTTTTAATGTATTTGGTACAGGGTCTAGCTACTCAGCTTAGACTCAAGACTCATAGTGATCCTCCTATGTCAGCCTCCCCAGCACTGGGATTACAGGCATGCACCACCATGCACAGTTTCAGTGGCTGGCTTGACATGTAGTACCAGGGATTGAACCTGGGTCCTTGCACTTGCCTAGGCAGGCACTTAGACCGCTGAGCTATCTCCACAGCCCAAATGACTATAAAATTTAAACAGAAATGTTTAAGTAACCAAATAGCTTTTAAAAGGAACAAAGTTAGAGTTCTAACATTACTTGAAGACAGTAAAAGACTACAGTAACCAAAACAGTGTGTACTGGTGTAAAGATCAGTGAAACAGAATGGAAGGAGACCCTATATACAGACCCATTCAAACATAGACCATTAACTTTTGATGAAACAATAAAGGCAACACAGTAGAGAAATGATCATCTTTCAAGTGACTGGTGCTAGAAAAATTGATTATCTACATGCAAAAACCTTTTAAAAGGATACTTAAAACTTACCCTTTTTACCATGCAAAAATTAAATAACAAATGGATCACAGATCTAAATGTAAAATCTAAAAGTATAAAACTCCTTATAGGCAAATACAGGAGAACATTGTTTTGTTCTTGATTTAGACTACAGTTATAAAACTGCTAGAAAAAAATAAGACTATAACATCTTCTAGACGTTCAGGTAGACAATGATTTCTGACATTAGACACAAAAACCCCTAGGTATAATAAAGTAGACATCAAAATAAAAGGTTTTGCCCATCAAAAACTACTGTCAAACTGTTTGAGTTATATTTCAAGACATTCCAAAGGAATATGTTTTCAGTACATATGCCTTTACAAGGATTATAAAGCACACTGAAAGTTCAATAATTTAAAATAACTCTAAGAAGTACCAAAATACACAGTTCACAAAGGAAAACATGTGAGGATGGTAATAAACATAGTAAGAAACGTCCTGTGTCTTTAATCAAGAAATGCACATCGAGGCTGCTACGAGATATTTCCCAATCAGGGTTCAATTTAAAACAACAAAAACTGTTAACCTGTTTCATTTCACTCTATTATTCTGGGAAATCTGCCTGATAACACTTCCATAGGAAACACAACAGAGTGTAAACCCATCGTAACTAAAGCCTTCAGCATCATATTAACATTTACATGAGACAAAGAGATTTACACTATGCATAGGTAATTTACTCTCACCTAAACATTCCACATATTTCTATTTCTGTTTGGAATAAACATTAAGAATAGCACGTTTACCTCAACATTCAGCAAAACACTTACCTGTCTGAGGCGGTGTCACTGGCAGCGTGGTGCCTCAGCCCTGACCTGTCTTGAATAGACTCCTGTCTTGTGAGCCCATGAGACCGGCTCCGCTCCACTGCAGGCACAGATGAGTCACCTGGGGGTGCTGGGAACTGGGCCTGCTCGTGGAGTTTTGCTTTCTTCTCCTGAGGCGCTTCCTCGTTTCTCACTCCTCGGGGAAGCTTTTGATCAGCTTGCTGTGGAATATTAGATCCACTATTATAGAACCATGCTCCGGATTTAGTGAGGATTTCTTGTTGTTTTCGGCACAAATTACATACCCACATAACCTGCACATAAAGACAAAGGGGAAAGAGATTAACATTCCTAAAAGTTAAAAACAATCCAAAAAGACAATAATTCAAGCCAAAAGAAATTATATGGTTGTCTTTCTGAAGTTAAAACACAATCCAGATAACTGCTACTATAAATTAAGTAATTTATTGTTTCTTTTAATTTTGTCAGAATAATTATAATGAAATAAACAACACTTACTGACAGTAGAAATACCAAACTAGAGTGTCAAATTACTAGTTTTTTCATTATACTCTTTCTTATTTAATTAGAAGTATGGTGTTGTGCATAGAAAATGGATTTTAAAGCTAAATACTTGAATCCAACAAATTTTCAACCTTTAAGCACAGTACTGAACCTTCCTATACACAAAACTTAGTTTCCCCACTAACAAAAATGGGGGTGGGGGGTTGCTTTGAAGATTAAAAGCAATTCATATAAAATGTCTAGCAAGACATCTGTTATATGTTAGACTTCAAGTAAACTAGCAAATTAATAAATTACGGTAATCTTTATCAAAAATCATATTAGGTGGTTTTGTTTTTTGTTGTTTGTTTTTGTATTTTAGGGAAGGGTCTACAGGGTGTTCAGGGTCTCACTACTAGATCAGACTCATAATGATCCACCTGTTTACAGCCTCTCAAGAGCTGGGATTACAGGCACGCACCACCATGCACCTCAGGGGTGGGGCCAGCACAGCAGGCCTGGGGATTGAACCCCTGAACCCTGTACTGCTTGCAGGTGCTTTAATCCGTGGAGCTATTTGGCCAGCCCTTAGGTGCTTTTTGAAGGGACTTTCACCTCTTTTAAAATAGATCCTAATGGCTAAAATAAAGCTAAGAATATTGCTCCTTTCAATAAAAACTCAAATTTTATTGTAATACACTTGATTTTTAAAGTGAAAAAACTTTAAAACTTACTAGCTTAACTATTTTTAATTGCACACTTCAGCAATATTAAATATATTGATACTGTCACAAAATAGATCTCCAACACACCTCTTGCAAAACTGAAAGCTATATTTAATTAAAAATCAACAGTCCAGGCCACGGAGATAGCTCAGTGGTCTAAGCGCCTACCTACGCAAGCACAAGGATCTGGGTTCCATCCCAGGTACCACATGCCATGGCAGCCCGCCGCGGGTGCCCTGAGCCAGCCACTGAAACCAGGCACGGTGGCACACACCTGTAATCCCAGCACTGGGGAGGCTCAAACAGGAGTCCAAGCTGCACAGTGAGAACCTGTACCTAATACATAAAATTAAAAAAACAAAAAAGCAACAGTCCTTTCCCTGTATCCCTAACCCCTGGTAATAACCACTCAATTGTTGATATGTTTTTTAATCTTGTAATTCATATATGTGTAATCAGAAAACTTCACAGTCTCTAAAACATCTTTTTCAGTTAATCAGGAAAAATTAAATAGGACCATAATATAAAAGGAAAGTTCATATATCAAGTGAGTGCTGATATAATATGTTAAATACTGAACCTTATCCAGCTCTCTGTGTTACTAAATATTTTTTCACAAATATAACAATAGGGGCCTGGGAGATGGCTCAGTAGAATAAGCGCTTCCCTGGCAAGT